CAGCTCCTGATTTAAATGCAATTACTGGCTTGCAGCTGTTGCAGAACAGGGTTCTCAGGACACGGAGCTGCCCCCCAACCAGCTCCTTTTCTAAACAACCACTTGCGTGTTGAATTCCTGAAAACTGAAGCTTTTTTTTTTCCCCACATCCAAAAAATTTTAAAAGCAGAGGTAGCTGAGATCCTGTCAAAACACAATTAAACGCTGAGTGGGTGTTTCCCACCCTCCTCTCGGGGTGCCCAGTGCAGCAGCTGGTGAGAACTGAGCTGTGACCACCTCAGCAGCTGCTTGTCCTGCCCGAAGGCAGGGGAGGTGCTGGACCCTCAGAGCAGAGAGGTGCAGTGTTTGAGGGGAGCCTGTGCTCATCAGTGAGTGAGGTGCACAGTCAGGTTTGTCGGGTCATGGTCTTTGTCTTTCTTGGTAGCTGCTGTATCATGGGACAGATGGATGAACTGCTGGGTTTGGGGTGCTGCCCAGTTTTGTTTGGTGCACCTCTGCCATGGACCTGTCCAACTTGGGCTCCTCAGTGGCAGCTCCTTCCCTGGGCAGGGCTGGCAGCTCCTGGGCAGAGAATGCTTCCAGAGAGGGTTTTCCTGCAAGGAAGTGGCTGCCGCAGCAGAGCCTGTGCGCGTGCTCCACTGCTCCCTGCAAGCACATCGCCGTGGCACAGAGGCCTCTGTCTCTGGAAGGCGCTGACGCTCCCTTTTTTCCCCCAGGTCATCCTCTTTCAGTACTGACTGCGCGGACTCTTCCTCACCTGCCCGTGGCCCTACCAGCAGCGCTGCCCCTCAGCCGCTGACACAGCGCCCAGCCCTCGGCAGCTGCCACCAGTCCCGCGGGAGAAGCTCAGACCCAGCACTCTCAGTTCTTTCCATTGACCAGCACCTCACGTCCGCTCTGATTTCTCCAGCGACACTCTGTGTATGTGTGTGTTGAGTGCAGAGTTACATTTTACACTTGTTTCTTGTGGACTTTGTAGAATGACCGTGAGTCTCTCCAAGGCAGTGCCAGCCACAGTCAAAACTGGTGACTCTACTGTGCTTGCAAGTCTTGCTCCCAACCCATGGGAATATGAACAACCCAGAACACACTGAGTCTCAGGGGGGTCGGTGATCACCTCTGAACACAAAGGAAGGAGGAATTTACGTGGTTTGGCCTGATTCTCTTTTTGCACCAGTGAAGCAGTTCCTGGACATCCCTCCTTCTTTCCACTCGCATCTGCGAAATTTGAAATTGGCTTTTTGGCTCAGCAACTCGATACATAGACAGACCTTCCCGAGCCAAACTCGCAGGTAGCTGAGACTCCACCGAGTGGAAAACATGATGCCAGCTGGAAATAGGCAGTTTTTCTTCCTCCTCAAAGTGCTTTAGAATCACATGTCCTTTGATCACTCAAAGGTAAGTAAATCTTAGTGTTTTTTCCCCCCGTTTTATAGGAGGGGAAGCAGAGATGTCCTAAACTGAGAGGAACCATGAGGGTTGGTGGCAGAGCCAGGTTTAGCACCCTGAAGTTTTTGATTGCTGACTTGTTCTTAGAACACTGAATATCTCTCTCCTCTCACAGCCATCTGCCAAATCTTCTTTTTTTTTTTAAAAAAAAGTTTTTTACTCTCATTCTTTATTATCAAGCTACATTATTTCCTTGGAGTCATATTGGATCACAAATGGGTGATTTCAGAATGTACCTACAGAAAACTCTCAGACAATCCATGCTCTGGGACTGGGAAACACTCAATGGAAGGTGGCCATAAAGGTGTAGAAATGCTCTGCCCTGCTGTGGACTCAAGCTCAGTCAGTGGAAAGAGTTGGGTAGAAACTGGAGACCAGTTAAAGAGGTGAAGGCCACGGTAAGGCCAGCAGGAACCGTGGCTAGCCGAGCAGACAGCAAGGGGATGGTGTCTTCCTTTGCCTGGCAGCATTGCTCTGATCCCCTCTGCCCTCCTGTTCTCCCTTGCTGGGTACGGCTGTCGGTCCTGCCAGGCCCTGGGATGAGGGTGCATCCCGGGAGAACGGCTGGGCTCACGGCAACGGCAAAGGAAGTGCTCAGCAGTCTGGCCCCAAGTCAGGAAAATGATCCTTCATTGATGGTAATAACGAAAAGTAAACAAGTGACCTCTGCCAGCCCTTCTCAGTTTGCACCGAGCCAAGAGCAGGTCTGTAACAAAACCTCTCTCCACGCAAGCACATGGGTCTGTCCTGCTGTGAAGTGTCTGTGAGGCTGCTCTCCCAAGAATGTGAAAGCCTACCCTGAGCCACAGCTAGTGAGGGATATGACTGAACCGTGCCCGAGGAGCAGGAGATGGGAATCCATCCGTTACATAACTTGTTTTGAACTGGAACCGTAGATACGCGTGTTTTCCTCTCTGGGAGATCCTGGATCAATCCATGGCATGGGCCGGGTGGGCAACCATCCCACTGCTCTGGCCAGCCCACACTGCACACGTGGGGAGCCTCCTGCCCGTGTCCCTGAGCTCCGTGTGACACCAGCAGCCAGCCATATGGCTCCAGCTAAATGGCGAGGAACGCTCCGGGAGTGGCGTGGGGAGATGGGAGATGGGGATGTCTGCTGAGGTGGCCACCGAGATCTCTTGGTTTGAGGAGTAACTGAGCACAAGCACACGTTGATATTGGTTGGAACAAATCCGCGCACGCGCGCTCCTCTGCGTGCGTGCATTATCAGAGTGATGGTACTACCTCGGACAGCTGGGCCAGTATCTGTCAGAGTGCAGCCAGCAGCTCCATTCCCAATTCAAAATAACATTTGAAAGGAGAGAGGGGAATTAAGTCCACAAAATATTATTGTCACCTCCTGATGTGGGACCGTTTCCAGAGTGTGACCAGTGACAAGGCGCTCCCGCACGCCTGACCCGACCGGAACCACCACTGCAGAGGCGTCCCCTGGGCGAGGGGACAGTCACCAGCTCCACCAGTGCAGTCCTTTTTGTCCTTGTTGGTAGCAATGAGGGAAGGATGAGTGTTCCATTGGCTGGCTGCTGGTGAGTGTTTGTCATCACAGGTTGAGGCGGCTGCTGTGTCCTTGTGCCAGCCTTGAGATGCTCGTAGGGGCTGGGGGGTCACCAGGGCCTGACTTTGTTCTCCATTTGTGCTTGCACATCCTAATGACCATTTAGTTGTGGAATTAGTGCCATAAAGGAATGGGTGGTTACCCCATTTGACACTGAAGGAGAGACTTCAGGCTGTAACTTGCCCTGACATCCCACAGTCTCTGAGATTGCCACAACTCTTCTGTTGAGGGAGAAAAGGGTTTGATGTCTTCTCCCTTCTGTCTTGGCAATGCAATGAAAGGGAAACCATGAAATATGTTATCTGCTAAATACCAACTTGATCAGAAAAACCCCACTTGTGAAATGTCCTGGAAATCCAAGGGTTTGTAAGCGATACACGGCAGGGCCGGAGCGCGAGGCAGGGGCCGAGGGAATGTAGGTGTTTCTCTCCAGGGACCTGGGCTCACCACAGACTGTGCTCGGGGCACTTCCCCCCATAAGTAGCCAGGAGCAGCTTTGCTAATTCAGAAATCAGGCTCTGTTTATATTAAGCCCAAATTGTTTGCAAAAACTGGAAGCAATTCAGCTTGTGCAGTTTTAGAGCTAATTATGTGTATGGAAAATACTCAACTGTACCAAGAATGTAAGAAATCTTCTAATTTATTCAATACATTGTTTCACAACATATTTCACACTGACTGTTGCCACTGAACCAAACCTTATCTCAGGTCATTTGCATTCATCTCCTGTATGTGGATTAAAAAAAAAAAATAAAATTAAAGTCATTCTCATTTTCTTAGTTTATTCAGTAATTGCCAGATGGGTTCTGGTGCAGCAATGCAGACTCCACGCACTAAACTTTTCCAGTTGCTATTTACAAACCCTTTCGCAGACAGAATCCACTGAAGACAGCCAGTGAAAGGCTCTTCACTCCAGTTTAATAAGGTGATTAACAGAGCTCTGCTCTGGAAGTGGGATGGTTTCAGGTTTTATCACCAGTGATTTTTTTCTGGCTCATGCTGGTTAACCCAATGCCCGAGCTAAAGGTGCTTACAGAACTCACTCGTTGGGACAGGGAGTGGGAACCAATCCTGCACTACTATCAGTGATTTATCTGCAGGATGCCAACTAAACACCAGTTTTATTTCATCTGCCAATCATTTTGTTGTAGCATGTTGCAATTCTGCATGTCTTGGCTACAATGGTTAAAAAATTTTTTCTCTGAATGAGTGGACAGTCAAGACTAATATTTATTTTAAAAAAGTAAAACAAAATTGTAAGCACTTTTTGTAAAACCAATGTCTGTTTTGTTACATACTTTTAATGTTGTGCTTTGTAAATGTCTTATTTGTGTAATAAATAAAGTTAATGCAAGTAGAAGTGCTGGCACTTACATCCAGAAAATGATGTAATTCCATTTTATTTTATTTTTAAATACTTTCTGGCTTACTAATCAAGCAGCAACCCACCCAGTTTTCCTCTTTTATTATTTTGTTAAACTCTGGCTTCAGGAGAGTTCAACAAACGTTCGTAGTAAATGGATATAATTTCCTAGTTAGCAAACCAGTCATTAAAGAATACCTCTGGTGTACATTATTACAATGATCAATCAATATCAAAGTACTGAGCAAAAAGAGAGGAAAGGAATTCACCAGGACAGCTAACTAAAATCTGGGAAAATAATGTTGATTAAGATGGATTTGAATGACTTCAACACCAAATCTGAGGCACTCTTTTTAACAAATTGTTTTCAGGCTTAATAATGTTTATACATACTACACTGCACACCTCTCAGGAATATTATTGTGAGTACAGTCAGCTTTTTTGCCGTGGCTTTTGCTCAGCATGACTGATTAAATGATTATTTCCATTTTTCTTTGAGCTGACAAAGATGACAGAAAGATTATATTCCTGTCGAGGGAAAGGGTGAGACAAATCCACGAGGACAAATTGCATTTATTGTGAATCAGATTACCTGCTTTGCTGGAATATTGTCTAGGAAAAACTGTTTGATGGTTTGGGTTCGTCCTCAGTTGTTATATCCCAGGCTTTCCGGCAGGTCCGAAGGATCCATTCATGCTCATCATTGTCTGAAAGGGAGAGAAAGAGAACATTAAATATCCCCGTGCCAGATCTGCTCTTTGCATCCCTGGGCTCCAAAACAAGTCATTTCTCCTTTGAAAAATAAATCCATTTTTTAGCTATTTGCATCTCTTAGAACACTTTGTTTGTTTGTTTGTTTTTTGCTGTTGTGTGGGAATTTGTCTAGGCAGGAGGAACTGGGTCTGTAGCAAGGACTGATTGTTCATCTGTTTGATAAGCTTAGCTTGGCTGAACCACGAGATTTACATGTAGAGATTTGAAATTTTGCCTTTTTGGGCAAAATGTGCAGGAGAAATGTTGAAACTATCAGAAATTAAGATAGGCATTTTTTAAACACTCTGGCTGGGCTGCTTGTCGGTTTATAAAAAGTGAAGGTAAAGAAAAATTTACAGTAAAATCCCAGGTTCTTGTCTTGCAGCTTTTCTTTCCATGCTGTTTTTGAGATGTATGTTGTGGCAGGTATTGATAAGCTGATGCAGTGGCTGAGAGATATTTTAGACCAACTCCTGTGTCCCTTGTTAGTATTCATGTCTGTCGTATTTATTCTGAGAGCATAATGACAGTGTGGAAAGAAAATAAAAGCAAAGACAATGTAGGAAAAAAAACCAACTGACCAGCAAAGTTTGAATAGTAATTTTCTGCATGATTTACAAAAAAATAGCTTGGTGAATGTTAAGTTGTGGCTTCTTAATTTCAGGGATTTAAATTGTCTTGTCTCCAGGAACTGTTCTGCAGCCTTTTCCTTTGTGTTTGTGTAGGAAAAAAAGAGATCTGTGTAGCAAACCAGGAAAAACAAACTTCAAAAAGCCTTGGGGGAAAAAAAAAAATCAAAATATTACTTCAACAATACCTGTATTTATTTTTATATAAATGAAATATATTCGAGATGCTTCTTGTGTTTACCACTGTCTTAACAAATTCATATTAGCTCCTTGTGATGTGTGTAAAAACCTAAATTTTGAGGGTTTGTGGCAGCCCTTGTGGGGTACAAATCCAGATGATTGGGAGGAGGATGGAGCTGAGGGGGTGTAACCCCAGTGCTGTGACCATCATTTATTCACCCTGCTGAGCACCCTGCCTAGGCAGGTCCAAAAAAATGGAGAAAGAAGAATGTTGCTTCTTTCAAAGAGTCAAATTTTCAGGAGATCAAATTTTCATGGAGATCTTTTGATTACAGAGTTGTACCTTTATGTTAAAGTGACAGAGGAGCATTTGAAATGCAAAAGATAGGAAAGTCCTGGGAGTAAAGTGTTAAGCTGAGAAGTTCCCAGAGGGGTATGTGACAAATTCTGATGCACAAGTCGTCAAGCTTGGGGATGAATCCTACTGATTGTGGTCCCTTGTGAATCAAGCTTTGCCTTTTCTTTTTTCTACCCTTTTTTTGTTTTTCGTGCTGCCCTCCCTTTCTGTCATTGCTGGCCAAGGGAGTCGTGCTGCTCACACCCTGCTCCATCCTGCTGGAGGGAGGAAAGGTGCCAAGGTGCTTGCTTTAATCACTGTAAAATAGTCATAATTTGGATAAAATAGCTAAGTTCAGCTCTTTCTGTGTTTTGCTGATCTCCTTTTTATTCCTTAGAGATCCACAGATCCATAACAAAATACCCTGTTAATGGCACATTTCTAATTCGGGTGTAAAGTAGGAGAAAATAGATGCTGAAAAAAATATGCTAAAAGGGAAATTAAAAACATGAGCACAGAATCTTGCTTAAAGACCTTGCAATCCTCACAGGCAGATTCTACCGAGGGCTGTAACAGGAATGCAAATGTGGTCCTTAAGCTTTCTTAAAAACAACATCCAAACCATAATCAATGTGCTGGCTTTTGTTCTAGGCACTAGGTGTTGCAGATGTGATCACCCAGCCTCGCCTGTGACAGATACTGTTCAGTCTCTGTGGCTCTGTGGTTTTAGCTGGAATTGCCTTAACTAAAAAAAAAAAAAAAAAAAAAAAAAAAAAGAGTTTATCTGAGCTTGTAATAATTGCATGAAAAGGAAACTTTTGTCTCTGTCATGGTGAAGGAATAAGAAAACTTAGAGATGCTGTGCATCCTCGTGTCTGGCTGGTAGCTGGGCCCACCTGGCTCACCTGAGTGCTAGAAATAACCAGCCTGAATCTGTCTGAGCGTTTGGCAGCACTCACTCAGCTGAGCATCAAGGGCAGAAGCACAAAGAAAGGCAGATGTTAACTTGGCTTCACAGGTTTCCAACATACCCTTGGTTTGTCAGACTGTCTCCTTCTGTTCTCTGGGATTTCCTGGTCTCCTAGGAAAGCACCCAGGAGAAATCACTCCAAGGATCTTAGCCCTGCCAGACTGATTCCAAAATGTCTTGGTTTGTGCAGAGATCTGAGCCCTTGCAAATTAAATACGTGTTCATAAGTCCTGCTTAACCTGCAAGTAGTTTAACCAGATGTAAAAACTGAACAAGCAATGCAAATTTCAACTTTGTGTATGAAAAGGAAAAATAGATGTAATGACTCAACATGAAGTAAATCCCTAGGACTGCCATCCAGCCCAGAGTGATGTACAGCTGGTCCTTGCCTAGGTAAGGGGAAATGAAAGAATTGATCCATGATAGGAAGAAGAACCATAGCCCAGGGATGAGAATGGTTCCAGGACTGGCTATGGGAGAAGAGGCAGGGAAATATTAGAATGTAAAGAGTTAAGCTATGGTAAAACATACTTTTGCTACACTAAAGAAGACTGGTTGATAATTACTGTAGTTTTAGGGCTATTTGAATCAGTGCAGCTGCAACCTCTTCAGTAGTAACCCCTGAAACAAGACAAACTGGGTTTATTGTACTGAACAAGTCTTAAAGCTCCTCCCTGATTGTTAGTAATTGGCAGCAATGGACTTAACAGCCTCTTGACTACCCTTTTTACACTCTACCTGACTGTGCAGCTAACAATTTAAATCACAGATGCCGATCCTTCTTTGTGGCAGCTGCTTGTTAACTACACGTTCCTCTTTTTCTGCCACTGGCTGCCTCCATAACCCTGCAACACCAGGGTTAGATTGGAGAATCACATTTCATCAATATTTAAAATGGAATTAAACCTTGAGGTTTGATTAATGCTACCAGATAGTGAGTTGTAATTACTATTTTGCAAATTGCAATTGTTTGAATATGTTAATATGATTGTCTAAGCACATCTTCACCTTCAGAAGTAATTTTCCTTTTAAAAAAGATTTGAAAAAAATACAAACTCTTTAATCAGTGCTAAATTATCACCCTGTGCACAATTAGGTAGAATGTGGTTCTTCGTGTGGTGTGCTGAATTTTGTGTCAGCATATTTATCTTTAAAAGTTTATCCATTTTTAAAAATTTTCCTCAGTAGAATAAACAGTTACAGAACAGACTTTGCTGAAAGAGGACTAACCATGCTGGTGTTTGAAGGTAAAGGAAAAAAAGCTTTGTCTGAGCATTTCACTGCAATCTGGTGTATCCCTGTGCAGTTAGTAAAATGTTACCCAGTTATTTCTTCCAAAGTCAGTGAAATATTATCATTGTTATCGTGACATATTATTGGAACCTTGAAACTGAAACAGCAAAAGATCGTAATAGATGAGCTCTTGAATTATTTCCTTGTGTCTTAATCAAAAATGAGATCAGTTTCTAGCACCCACTAAATATATCTTGAGTAGTGTGGGTGAGATCCTCAGCCAGCCCACACTGGGACAGCTCTCTGTTATTTTTGGGATTAATTCAGGCTGTTTTCATTAAGCAGGCAGAGGCACACGGAGCCAACCCTGGCAGCCACCTGCAGAAGTGGCATCTGCCCACAATAGGTGATTAAGCAGGGGTACAAATCCTCCTGACCTCCTGTTGGACATGTCCACACAGCCAGGTCAGTCTGCAGAGTCTCTTTAGGTAAATAAGACCCAGCTAAAGCTGGTGGCTCTAATGTGTTCCTATATGTAGCCCAAAATTGGTTCTTCTCGCCAAATATTGCCTGGCAAGTTTCTGCCTTTGTTTTGGGGGGCTTTAGGGGAAGTCCCAAATGTCAGCAAAGTCCAAGCAGGTGTCACAACCACTGTTAAGTGTATTCCACAGTGAGCTCAAACTGCAGCCCACTTAAATCAGTGATTTCTGCTCTCTGCAAAATGAAACCACTTGCCTCAATGTTCAGGCTAAAAGTAGTGGCAGAAGAGATTTCCCCAAATACCACACTCCAGATTTATCTCTCAACTGGGATTAGAAACAGCTGAAAATTCAGGGTGGCCTTGCTTCAGGGTGCTTCCAAGGGATGACATGAAAACACACTGTAATTTAGGTGCGTTTAATCTTGCTATATTAAATGCATATTGCAAAGTTTAGAATTATTTGCTTCTAACTATCGTGTTTCTGCGTTGCTTATGGAAACCTCAGCTGTGAGCGACTTCTGAGGACTCTGCATGCTTAGGTGCCTGCCATGGCACACAGCTGAGACTGACAGCACTGGCAGTATTGCCATGGAGGCTTCTCTTAACTATTGCTTTCCCAGGAAACCACCTGGAAGTTTGCTGAAATTAGAATAGCAAGTGTGAAGATGACATTGTTCACCTTGAAAAGCTTGTGTGACTGTGTTAGGTCTCTGTAGCTGTATGTGTTCCTGATGTCTCAGTGGCTGTGGCTGTGCTGGAGGCCCTGTGCACTCCAAAAATCAGATCCCAGGGGCAATCCGGGACCTGATGTGAGAGGTGTCATCCCTTTGTGAGCTCTGTTGGAGCCCAGGAGGGGAGCTGGTGTCCCTGGGATGTGGCACCACCAGGGCAGGGAGCACTCGGAGCCCTGGCACAGCCGAGGCCCAGCCCTGCCCAGAGCTTTCCATGCCCATGGTTTGGAAGGGTGTGTTCCCAGCAGACCATCCTCCAGCAGCAGCTGAGCTTCCTCTCCGTTTGCACAGGGCCAAGCACACGCAGCCCATTGTAAACAACAATATCACTGAATTCTTTCACATCCCTGGCTCCTCCCAGCACCCGCAGCGCCGTTTATCATGTTCTTCCAC